CACAGACCACAGGGAGTGGCACTGCTAAGCTAAAGACTGAACTTTGCTGCGGTTCAGATCCACCGGAAGCTGTGAGGAACACCAATGAGCAGTCTTCTCCGTGTTATTTACAGCCTCTGAAACCCAGTGGAGGGTCAGCAATGAATCAGTTCCTCCTTGACCAATGGCAGTGAGCGAATGTTGGCATGTGCTCTTCCTACATCCTAGAGTCCTAGGCCTAACCCTAACTCAACACCCAAGGGAGACCGAGTTACTATTTTAGACACTAGGATGGGTTCAGAGAGCTCTGGTGGCCTAGTGGCAAGAATCTGCGCTGCAATCCCTAAGGCAGGCAGTTCAAATCCACTAGCTGCTCCACAGGATGGGCAGTCGCCGCCTGTGCAATTTACCACCTCTGAAAACCTGCTGGAGGGTCAGCTGTAGGTCAGTTCTGACTCAGAAGTACACAACAACAACAACAACAACAACAACAACAGGGTAGCCTCTGCTTCAGGCTTGAAGGGTGATTAAGGGTCAGGGACTCGAGGGTTCCTCCAGTTTCCATTTGGCCAGCAAGCCTGGGCCTTCTTAAACTTTTGACTGTGCCATTGGTTTTGTGTTTTCTGACCCACGTGTTTGTTTCCTCTCTTGTCAGTGCTTTTTGCGTTCTTTTGTGAGCGTCCCATGTCTGTTTCCCGCTCATTAGTGTTTTTCCTGCTCAGCTCTGTTGTTGGTGACATGGACTCGGCTCTGACTCACAGTGACCACATGCAGTGGAGAGAAGCCCTGCCCCATCCTCCCTGTCCTCATTCTCTTGCCCATATTTGAGCTCATTGCTGCAGTCCCTGTGTCAGACCCTTTCCGTGAGGGGCTTCCTTCCGTTCCGCAAGTAACAGGCGTTGCCTTTCACTCTGGCAAGCTTCCTCTGACCCTGCTAAGCATGACATCATTTCTGAGTCAGTGGTAACACTGCTGAGGGGTGAACAAAGTCGCCACGGCCCATTACTTCCCTGAGCCCGCAGCCCTGCACCTTGTCACTTTGACACTTCACTCTCTGGGCTGATCAGCTCCCCATGTGGATAATGAGGAGTCTCTTCTGATGGCCTTGATCTCCCATTCTGTGTTAAAACTCTATGAAATTTGGACCAGCAGGTGATCATAGTGTCACCTGGGCTCCTCCAAGTACTCACACAAGACCTTGAGTGGCTGGAGGGGGAGAAGGTGTGGTGGGCAGGAAGCTGGGTTAGGGCCTTAGGCATGGACTTGTCAGCTGTCATGAAGTAGTCCTTTGAGTGTTGTGCTGCTAAAAGAAAGGTTGGTGGTTCAAACCTGCCAACTGCTCATTGGAAGAAAGGTGGAGGTTCAAAAGGTGACCCTGAGTCAGATCCGGCTCCATAGCTGAGGGTGCCACGGTTAATCTCTGGCTGCTAACTGAAAGATTGGTGACGTGAACCCAATCAGCAGCTCAGTGGAGGAAAGGCCTGGTGATCTGCTGCTGTAGATGGCAGTCCAGGAAACCTTGTGGACAGTCCTGCCCCACCATATCTGTCAGGTGGGGCCACTGACAATTGGAATCTGACCGATGGCACAGAGCAATGTGGACGTTAAGCAGTCCTGGTGGCACAGTGGATCAAGTGCGAACTGGGAGACTGACAGTTTGAAGCCACCCCGTGGGACAGAGAGCTGCTCCTGTAGAGATGATGACCTCAGAAACCCACTGGGACAGTTCCACTCTGTACAGGGGTCAGTTCCACTCTGTACAGGGGGTCAGTTCCAC